ACTGAAAGTGCATCTTAATACCAGGTGTAAACAAGATCTTTATGTTTCTATTTAGTCACCTTGATCGCGGTTCTTTACCACCCTCCTCTCCAGCTCACCGTGTGTCCCTTGTTGTCTTCATTGTGTGATATAAAGAGATACATGCTGGTAGACCTGATCTGTTGTTCTGAACTGAATTGTAGAAATGGGTAAAAAGAACAGGTCAAGGGCGTGCTACGAAACGAAAGGGTGTCACCCTGCACACATTTAAAGACAATCAATCAATCAATCAATCAATATACTGTGTGTACTTACATCAAAAAATAAGTACAATGTACTTATTGTGTTCATATTGTATTGCAAAACACTTCTGCTGCTATTGAGGTGGGATACGGGTAAGGTTAGGGGCAGGTTTGGTTTTATGGGTAGGTTTAAGGGTTAAGGTGTAAGGGATGGGTCAACAGTGTAATTATAAATGTAATTACAGAAATTAATTACAGATGTAATTACATACAGGGATTTTTGTTGCAATGTAAAAACATGTATGTACACAATAAGTGCATTGTATCAAATGATTAATTTAAATGTAAGTACATAGTAGTTAAAGCCACTTAATATAAAGTGGGACCAACTATTCATTAAAAGAACCACCTCAAAAGAGTCATCCATCATTTAATATTTTTACTGCTGAAAAGTGGTAAAGCAAACATGGTTACAGGGAAACTACTTCACATTATGAAAATATTCATTTTAAGAATTAACAACAGGGTCCAGGCAGCACAGTTGAGTGAGTTCAGCTGAACACAGACAGCTTCAGAACAGTAAGTGCAGCAAATACATTTTCACACAGCCACTGAAAATAGAGTAAAGATCGATCTAGTGATTTCAAGAATCAATATTGGGATAGGTCAAATGAAGATCGCAATTCATTGGAAAAATCTATATTTTTACCCATAGTTTTCCCTACTGATTAAACAATTTATTTTCACAAATCTTGAAATTATCACAGTGTGTTTCACAAGTGTGCACAGATGATGCTGCTAAGCTGCAGCAGTCTGGGGCCTGGGCCTAGACCAAAGTAGAACAAACTTCAGTGCTGTAGTGTATGTTTGCTTAAACAACAATCCAAAACCAGTGGGATAAAGTTGTTTCCACAAAGTGTTTCCACAAAGTGTGTTCAACTTGATGTTACAACTCCCAGGTAACCACACAACTTGCTCACAGGTTCCAAAGCAATATGGGTGTAGATTAACTTTCATAAGCCCCTCCACCAACATTGCTTTCCAATTTGAGCCATTCTTCATTTCCTTTGCAGTTTCATAGAGGGCTCTGGAGTAATGATTGACAGATTTTGTTTCCCCTTGCACGCCGGCTCTTTGAGCAGTCACTCATTACAAACGAGTTAACAAAGGTCGGCCTGTGGGCATGAGTGCTTGCAGAGTTTGATGGAAGCCTTTCTGATTGAAAACAATAGTGGATTGTTTCACCAGCCCCAAAGAATCAGAACCAGAGCCTTGAGGCGAATGCTGTCAGCCATACAGTTCATTAACCACTTAGATCTTTAATTAAACCCCCCTGTCTAGAGTTAACTAATCAGAAAGATGCCAAGATTAGCAAAGCCGCCAGACCACAGAATTCCAAAAAAGGTCAGCGACAGAGAGGGAGTGAAAAAGAGCAAGAGAAAATGAGAGGAGATGAATGCTCACCTCTGATTAGTCATCATGATCCCACTAAAATGACCTTCCGTCAGGGGGAGAAAATAGCGCCGTGGGCGACCGGGTCTCAGAACGTCTCAGATGAGTTCCTCTGCAAAGCTGCTGCTGCTGTATTCCATAGTCATGTGCCCCTCGTCAACTATTTAGACCTGTTCAATATTTAATGAACTTTAATAATCCGAGAGCGGAGATAATGACTCATTAACGCAGTGCCTCATTTGTCATATGTGCACCCAAATATATCCATTTTCAAAGCCCAGGGCAATTTGGATTTGGTTTAATATATCTCGGATTCTGCCAGAGGCAGACATGTTATAAACCATAATGTCATGACAAAGTGTAAAATCCCAAAAGAATAGCAGGCAACAGCTGCTAACAGAAGACAGAGAAATGGAAACATCAACTGTGACTAGTTCTAATCAGTCTGTACTTTACACAGCATTGTAGGTAAATAACTACAAGAGTAACAAAGCGCAGTAAATGGTAAAACTATTTGCACTGCAAATCAGTGTGTTTATAATTACAACATTACATTAAAATAAAAGAAATACCAGTTTGCAATATTAAGCAGCATAACTGTTTTAAGGGGTGGAACGGTTCAACTTACGGTTCGGTTTGTATCACGGTTTTAGAGTCACGGTTTCGGTACGGTTCTTCGGATGAGCACACGCACAAATCTTCTCACTGCGCACACGAGCTCGCATCGTCTGGCCCTTAAATGTTTAAACTGGCAAAGCTTAAATGTGTTTAGCTTAAACACAGATATCAACGTGTGCTGTTCAGGTCTCATCTGTGCGCGCGCGCCTCAGAACCCGGGTGATGACGGAATAAATGCTCATATTCCAGCATACGGCATTAGCATTGAACTATTTTATTTTTTTTTTCATTGCTGTTGTTGTAATGTATTGGAAAGCCAGAATGCGCATCCATCAACAGAAACATATATTAGCCAAACCCTGTTTGTTTTACGTGTTATTTATAGCAAACCATTACAGATGCGTTGTCAGATTTAAGTTGAACCGTCGTCCTAGCGCGTGCCGAACCGTGTGTGGAGAACCGTACGGTTCGATTTTTTCCCACGAACCGTTCCACCCCTAAACTGTTTTGTACAGCTAAAATAACTGGAAGCAAATGACACTTTCAAATTAAGATATTTTTGATGATATTTTTGAACTGACACGTTCAAGAGATGGACTAAGACATGGTCCTTTTTCTGGGTCTTGAAAGTGGTAGTTGCATTGCTGTCTATGCAGGGTCAGAAAGCTCTCGGATTTCATCAAAAATATCTTAATTTGTGTTCCGAAGATGAACGAAGGTCGTTCGGGTTTGGAAGGACATGAAGGTGAGTAATTAATGACAGAATTTTAATTTTTGGGTAAACCATCCCTTTAAAATTAGGTGGATAGTGTTGAAAAAAAAATTACTTGATTTAATTTTTGTGATTATATATGATTTTAAGTTTCAGATTAGTTTTAGTTTGTTACACTTGTTCATATATTTTAGCTGTAAGTTTAGAAATTGTTTAGCATTTGTTTTCATATTCATCTTTTACGCAAAAAGCTAGCTGTGATTGCCAATCACTGATTGGTTGTTTTACATGTCAGTCTGATGGTTGATTCACATAACAGAGAGCAAGAGTGAACACCCAATATTTCATTGTTTTCAAAAGTATTATTTTCCTGTTCATTTGCTCCATAGGGCTTAAACATTAACATTAACATTTAAATCTTTAATGTTGTTTCAATTTTATATAAACATATTCGTTACACTAAATGACAATGGAACATTATTTCACCCATATTTTAACATTTTATTTTCACAAAAGTTACCTAAAACATTAAAGAAACAAAGAATCCTGGTCATGCAGTTCTTCACCTGAATCTATTTACATTTTAACAAAAATGGTGAAATAGCACTGACTGATGGCTTCAACAGAAACGTATACCATTGATTATTAACCTCAGAGCTCAATGTTAAGTGTGCCTTGAACGTTTTATCTCTTTCTCTATAGAGAAAAAAAGAACTCGACTTGAGAGAACATGAAATACCATTTAATTAACAAAAGTCTTTGTTAATGATAAAAGTTTTTGGTAATGATACAATCTGGCTCTACTCTTGATTTTTCCAATACTTGAGGCAGAAGTAATGAGAAAGGTGTGAAATTGTGCAATTCTCAGTTGCATTGCTCCTTCACTTTAATCTTGTCAAGAGACCTACTGTCCACAATACATTTCTGTTTTTGATTGCTGTTGTCAGTCTATAAAGCAGTGGTTCTTAACCTTTTTTTCCACTGGGCCGCACTATGGTCCAAGTGCAAGTCTCACGGGCCGCACGCATATAATTTACATATTACATCACCAATACAAACCAACCAGATTTATAATATTATAGCATAAATATTATGATATTTAATCGATTACATTAATTCAAATAAATAAATAAATAATTCTACTCACCATTAATAAAGCACCTGATGCTGTCGGGAGCTGACCAATTTTGTGAAATTCGTCTCGAAAGGAGTAACAGCACAAGGAAGTTGCAATTGTAAGTTGCAGTCTGCGCACGGAAGCGTGATTTGACGCGTGACATTGCAGAAAATGTGCGTTCACAAGTGTAGCCTATGTTGATCTAAATATGGAAAGCACTTTCGAATTTAATTATCTGAGGTTCTCTCCAGAGATGTTTTGCCACATTTCTCCAATTAAGGATGATTGCTGCGTAGTATGGGTGTTTCCTTTTGCCTGAACATCTTCAAGTGAGTGGCGGAGCAAACAACTTTTTTGGCATCAAAAAAAGTTGATGCCAACTTTTCGGCATCAACTTTCGAAGTCCAGCACTCTCCTACCTTCACTGCTGATACTGCGACTATTCTTGTTTGTATGTGTTCCTTCTCTGGCATTTTCCACATTTCGATTTTCTCCCTTAATAACAAATTTGTCCATTCTGATGCTCAATTTTACTGAACTAATGGCTGCTGATGACTATTTAAATTGAATTCTGCTAAAGTGCGCACTTGTAAGTGTTAAATGCGTAACGTTAATTACGTGAGTAGGCCTAGCCTACAGGTCTGCTCATGTCTGAAAATAATTTATGAAAAACAAAATTATTTTACACAACAAAAACATTATAGCTTATATTTGTTTAGTACATTTTTAAATTAATGTAAAAACGAAATTGATTTGTAAAACTGAAAGTTATTTTTTTTATTGTGTTCAGCATGGTGGGCCGCATTTGAATTCGTGACGGGCCGCTGGTTGAGAACCACTGCTATAAAGCATGAATGTATTTTAATGGCTCTTTGCCCAGCTTGTTCACAGAGAGGTGTAGAAATATGGGGAAACACAACAGCAAGCTTGCTCCTGAAGTGCTTGATGACTTGACCAAGAGTACAGAGTTCAACGAAGCTGAGCTGAAGCAGTGGTATAAGGGGTTCCTGAAGGACTGTCCATCTGGCATCCTCAATCTGGAAGAGTTCCAGCAACTCTATGTCAAGGTGAGGGAAGTCAAAGGGATGCTTTCCACATTAGATATACCTACTCTCAGTGTGACCCTCAGGTACATGAAGGAAATTAAAAAAAGATACTGAAAAATATTGTCGAGGCTTTCCCTGTTGAAAAAAAAAACAGCATGTGCTGGTTAGGTATGTTTTGAATCATGGCAGCTGGTTTGAGCTGGTTTAAGCTGGACCATAGTTGGTCCTTAGCTGGTTAAAGCTGGTCCAAAGATGGTCCTAAGCAACTAGTCAGGACCAGCTCAAACCAGCTGCCATGCTTCAAAACATAACCAGCATATTAGGGTTGGTTCACCCAAATGTGAAAATTCTGTCATCATGATTTACTTACACTCATGCTGTTCCAAACCAGTATGACTTTCTTTCTTCTTATGTGGAACACAAAAGATGTTAAGCAGAATTTTGACCTTCATATTTTCCATAAAATGAGATCATATTACGACTAGGGACTATAAAACTACAAAAATGATGAGAAGTCACTATAAAAATATCATAAAAATGGTGATTATCATTTTGGGGTGAACTATTCCCTTAAGTAGGGCTATGTAGTTAAGTTACTAAAAAGTGTACTAAAAGCCAGATGCTGTTTTGTGTCTTTCAGTTCTTTCCTTATGGCGACGCTTCAAAATTCGCCCAGCATGCCTTTCGGACATTTGACAAAAACAGTGATGGTACCATTGACTTCAGGGAGTTCATCTGCGCACTGTCCATTACTTCCAGGGGAAGTTTTGAGCAGAAACTCAACTGGGCCTTCAACATGTATGACCTGGACGGAGATGGCAAGATCACACGCATGGAAATGCTGGAGATCATTGAGGTGAGGGATTCAGAGAAGGCACTGCATCACATAATAAAATACGTGTTTGCTTTAGAAGTGTGTTCATCCCATTTTTTGGGATGTCTCTGATGTCCAGGCAATCTACAAGATGGTTGGGACGGTGATCATGATGCGTATGAACGAAGACGGGTTGACCCCACAGCAGCGTGTGGACAAAATCTTCAGCAAGATGGACAAGGACCACAACGACGAGATCACGCTGGAGGAGTTCAAAGAGGCGGCCAAGAGCGACCCCTCCATTGTTCTTTTACTGCAGTGTGACATGCAGAAGTAAGGAGGGAGAGGAGGAAGATGAGTGAAGTGGGCTGGGGGATGTAGGGAGGGGAGGAGAACCATGTACAGACTTCTAGAGAGATGTAGGTAATAGATAATGAGAGAAAATGTACATACAGTTAAGTTAGACTGCATGATAATCTTGGGAATGTTAAGGGAATGATTATGGCCATTTGGAATGATTAGTCAAAGTAATGCAAGAGAGGGTCTTTTCCACCCTGTATCACTTATTACACATTCTGTCTGCTTTCCAGCCTCTAGAGAGAGTCAGAAAGTTCAAAAGATTGAATCCTTAATACAAGACATTTCTTTCCTCAAAAAAGGTCACTTCTGAGCCAACTAACTATCTTTTAGGATTAGAAGCATATTTGAACAATTTAATGTAAAAATTACATCTTTTAAAGATACAAAAGGCATTTTTAGGCCTGAAATTATATTAGGGATACACAATATATCAGAATTAATATGGTGTAGAAGCAATTTTCACTCAGAAATTGCCAGTACATTTCACAAATAATTACAAAGAAATGGCAAACAAGACATAAATTAAATGTAAAATTTAAAAGTAGAAAGACTGAAATAGTGTTTCACGTAAAACATTTTAACATATTAATCTTTGTTTTATTTGTTTTACTACAAAAAAATCATATTATTTAGTGTTACTGATTTTTATTTATTTATTGGTGGATATTGAAATTACCTGGTATTTGAGACACTTAATAGTTCATGCTCGTTTCCCCTATTTTTACATTTAGATTATTTTTGCTGTCATTTAACACTCACTTGAAGTTAATCTTTAAAAACACAAATCATTTAATAACACTGTTAAATATAATCTTTAGCAAATGAATTTCCACTTTTCATACTGTACATTTTTATATAATTTATTTAGAAAAAATAGAAATGAATTGATCTGTTATTCATTTATCTACAGAAGCAGTGTCGAGATTACAAGAACACAAGAAAGAGGGCTTCCGTAATTTATCGGTTATTGCGCATAACAACAATTATCTGCTTATCGGTATCGGCCAAATGTTTATACCATGCATCTTTTTTTATTTATTTATGTATTTATTTATTTTTTACCCAGATTGAAAATGTCAGAAGAGCAACATGCCCGGTTACAGGTTGTGCCAGAGGAAGAGCATTACAGAATTACTGAGAGTTCAGGGCAGGACTGAATCCTTTGATATTTGCGGGTGCCTTCATATAGAGCGCTCTACCCCACTAGATAACACTCCAGCAACTAATACTGACACATCAGTGGAGTTTGAACGCATTGCCATAATCTGACGATACCATCACAAAGCATAGACTTCTAACTGCGTTATTGGCCGAGATAAAACTGAAAAGCCATGGCTGAGTAAAAGAGTGATATTTCTAACGGGTCATGCCAGAAAACGAGGAGTAGCGTTAGCTAGAGAACTGACAATATATGTACATGATGACATTTTGTACATAATGCCTATACACATGCTTAATATGTACATGTAAATGTTTCTCTACCTTAGAACTGCTTTCATAATCTGACACGGCTGCAATGATTTGTGTGCTAACACAAAAAAAACTTACTGTACTTACGTATGTGGGTCTGTCCGTGGAAGAGGCACACTAATGTGTGCATTTTCTTCATTATAATCTGGTGTGAAAGCTGCAGTGTGAGTGTGTGAGTTCATGTAAGAGAACACAAATGCCTCAATCTTTGTATTAATTCTTTCTTATGATCTTCACGCCAGTGCTAGGAGTATTACGCCGTCGTGTTCTTTATTAGTTCATCTCTTATTTCATAAGCTTTGCAGGTGTCACCTAAGGGGATTTTAAGTGTATGAATATTGTCAATGTTGAACTATCTTTCTTTACTCTTGTAATATAAGTGGACACAAATGTAAACCAGACGCAGAATGTGTAGTACTTGTCAATGTTACTATGCCGCAATACTAACATGAGATTACTGTTGCACTATGTAGTGAGTAGAGGCAATACAGCTTTAGTTTTAGACTGCCTCCCTGTGGTGAAAGATGTTAATTAACTTGCCCAGTTAACTTTAGCACCAGATCTTCAAACACTACGATTTCACTCGGAACCAGGGCTGTCAGGGGGTCCAAGGGGTCCAACTAAGTTCAATATGTGATATAGTCTCTGTGAATTTTAGCAGCAACCCCCCTTAAAAGAAACAGCTCGCAGTTTGCTGAAAATTTTGTTTTGGTTCCTTATTGGAACAGATTTGGAGAAATTTAGCATTTCATCATTTGCTCACCAAAGGATCCTCTGCAGTGAATGGGTGCCGTCAGAATGAGAGTCCAAACAGTTGATAAAAACATCACAATAATTCACAAGTAATCCACACGACTCACAGTCCATCGGTTAACATCTTGTGAAGCAAAAAGATGAGTGTTCGTAAGAAACAAATCAATCTATAAGGCATTTTAACTTTAAACTGTTGCTTTTTGCCAAAATAAATCCATAATAATGCTTCATCCAGTTCACTGCATAGGATCCATTGGTGAGCAAGTGATGTAATTTCTCCAGATTTCTCTTTTAAACCCTAAATATACTTCTAGATCACAATGAGGAGGGTCTTACTGGAACATTGTGCTACAAAAAAAGCAATGATTATTTGTATTTAGACATCTTTTTAGCTTTACCCAAGTGACTTATTTTTCATTAGTGAAAGGCTTTAGTAATTCTCAAAGACTAATCCTGCGATTCATTTTGCAGCAGTTCATTTTTTACATCTTCAGTAACAGCAGTTTAAGCAATTTCTTTATTCGCCTATAAGCACATTTTGTCACAACTGCTTTTCCACTACTCATAATCTTGTGAAATCCTTGTGGGATGTGTTTCCTGACACATTCACACACCTCTGCTCATGAGTGGCAAGTGTAATCTCTTTCTTATTATGTCACATAATAGCTTTCTTTATACTAAACTGTGCTACCCCTTGTGAAAAAGAAGTGTGCTTAATTGTACTGAATGTGCACTTGTACTTGTACTTCAAATATTTTAGGTATATTTAAAAAAAAACTGTACTTGCAGATAATATAATATTAATGAATTAAAAGGCCACTTAAAGAAAGTATACTTTTATAACTGTTTCTTAATACACTTAAGTACACTTTGTAATACTTTCAAATTAAAAAGTACATTTTAAATCATTATTTGTTAATACTCTTTTGTCATGCTTTTGAAGACACTCTTACTTTGATGTGTTTATTAACATACTAAAGCGCATATAAAGTACTTGGTTAATATATTTTAAAAGTACTTAACTGCAACTTCATCATTGCAAATGTATAATTACAAAATTATTTAAATATGTGGCAAAAATGAAAATAGAAATTACATTAAAGTATTTTTACTTTAAATAATTAATACAAATGCATGTAATACAACGATGTACTTAAGCAAAGACAATAGAATAAAGGGACTTTGACTTAAGTCCTACTTAAGTGGGTCAAATAAATTGCCTTTAATGTTAATTTAAACTGTAATAATATTTCATTTAAAGGGTTAGTTCACCCAAAAATGAAAATTAGGCTGCGTTTTACTCACCCCCGAGGCATCCTAGGTGTATATGACTCTCTTCTTTCAGACGAATCCAGTCGGAGTTATATTAAAAATTGTCTTTGATCTTTCAAGCTGTTTAATGCCACTCAGCGGGTGTTGCATTGCTTCAGTCCAAAAGAACTTAAATAAAAATCGCCCATCCATTAAAAAAAGTGTCTCACACGGCTCCGGGGGGTGAACAAAGGCCTTCTGTAGCGAATCGATGCGTTTTTGTAAGAAAAATATCCATATTCAAAACGTAATAATCACTTTAATGTAGCTTGCGCCAACAGTTGTACACAGAAGCAGTTCCAGGAGCATGACGTATGAGTTCAGTGCTGCGCATGCGCCGGTGAGTGTCGTGTTTACAGGATCAAAGGAAGCAAAGTTTCCTTACTTTAGCAAAGGAAAACCAGTCTCCTCTTGGCTTATAAAAATCAAATTTAATTGGTCACTGTCACTGAATTTGATCTTTGACCGCAATTCAGAGCTGTACCAGCGTTACTCAATATATGGTCTGCAATCTTTCAGACTGACCATCTGACTATCCAATGATCACTGTGATTAAATTACATAAACGCAGTAATGGTCATGGGTAATGATTATGGGAAGTGCAAAATGGGCCTTGTGGATTTTGTGCAATGTGCTGATCTGCCAGTGAGCTAAAGTCCAATATGACAATTTCTGTGCCAAAGACTCTATAAAACATAAAATTGGATAATAAATAAGATATATATTAAATATGTATGTATACACATGCACATGGATGTTCTGAACTTGCACCCAATTATTGAAAATGTATTTTGATTGCATTAACATTTATATTACAGCTTAAAAATGTGTGTAACCTTCCACTGCAAATTCTGATATTGTCCCAAAATGATAACATTGTAAAGGGAGTAATTGTGTCCAGTCGTGCAATACAATGCTTTCTGTACTGTATGTGTGCTGTGCATTTCTAAATGTCTGGTTTCTGTTTACTTTTTCAATATCGTAAAGCTCCTGGAACAAAGATGTGTAATTACTTTTGTTACATAGAGAATTAAATATGTGGATGTCTACTGAATCATCTCCGGCTGTGTGTTGTTTGTCGTCCTTACTGATTAGGTAAATGCTGTCAGACAAACTCATCAATTTCTCTCGTTTTCTCCCTCCCTCTCTCTCTCTCTTTCTCTCATTGTCATTCACACAAATATTTCCGTTTTTAAGCAGACCTGTGCAGTATGAGTCACTCTAGGGAGGTGATGTCATGATAAATGCTGTTGTCATGGCAGCAGGGCTGTAGCACATCTGAAGTGTGATGGGAGAATTGCATAAATGTAGACGTTCCATCAGGGACACTCATTTCACATGCAATTTCCCAACAAATTTATACACTCAACCTTTATGCTAGCTCTGAGCCATCGGTCTCTTCCTGCCTGCTTCGTCTCACTCATTACAACTCTGCTGAAATTGACTTCAACCAACCTAAACTGGTTTGCTGGTCTAACAGAAAGGTTAGTCTGGTCTGGTGTGCTGATTTTGCGACCATGTATGAATGCAAATACTTATTGTTCACATTACACAGACCCTAGAGAAATATATGCTGGTAGTGGAGCTTGAGACATTTTTTTTTATCTATCATTCAGGGTTTCTGAAATAAGTAAATAAAAATGAGTTTACATAAATATTAAATGTTTTATCCGCTGAACAACATTACACACCATAGTCAAATACAACTTCTCTTTTTGATCAGGTAGATTGTTTTTTCAGTGCCTACTAGATGTCAGGCTAATGGTCTCATGAATATTAATCCTGCGTTCGCCCACAGTGATTTGCTGAAGTCAAAACGAAAGGTGAGTTTGAGCTTTACAACTTGCACGATAGCCCCGCCCACCGGCGAAATGCTAAACAAAACAGCTTTGCAATGCTTCTGTTTTGTTTTCCCTTGCATTGTCTGCAAATTAATCTGCTTAAATGTAATTGATTTTCCTAAAAACGCAAGGACAAATTAAGAAATCTATCTCCCCAATTTTAATGGTTGAGAAAGAGAGTAAGTAGATGAAAACGTACACCAGCAACATCTCTCCTTTACTGGTGATACACTCATTAATACATTTGTATAATTTGTGTATATCTGATTAATTTTGTTAGTTTTGTCAACGTTTAGGAGTAAATTATAAACCAAATTATAAATCAATACATTTAAATGACAACAAACCAGGTTGTATAATAGACGAACAAACAAATATTAAAATTTTCGGATTTAGATTTGTAGTTTTATTTTGAAATCGCAGTTTAGTTGCAGAACGTGACATCACTTCCTGGCAAAGCAACGTTTGGGATTAGCTAGCATGTCCCTATATCTGTTGTGTGGGATAAAATTATAATTAAACACTAAATCGCCGAGCTGCCACAGTTATCCCTTAAAAGTAAGGTGTTTAATCCTTTACATTTCTAACCCAGATATACTCTGCTGCTATTCATATGTAACGTTAGCTTTTTCTAAAATGTACAATCGAATCGTTTTGACTGTTGTTAGCCTGGTAACGTTACCTAATATAGTAATGGTCTTGAACAGTAACAATTATGTATGGCCACTGGCAAATTTGTGTTTGTAATAATTGGCGTCGCTATTTTGTTTATACACTGTATTAAAATATGGCTTGTGTTTATTATATGGGTGTTACGATGTCCGTTATCAGTACTGTTAGCATTTACAGTTCTAGTAGCGCCCAACGTTACTATGGAGACAAAGCGAGACGCTCCTGTTATAATTACTGAAGCTGCACTGCAAGTGTATGATGTTTCTATGGTTTCATAATACGCGATAAAACTAGTGGTCAGCTTCTTTGATTACAATGAGATTTTTTTTTTTTTTTTGCAATCAGTGTAGATGTTATGATTCATAGAGTTTAATTGCTAACATTAGTCCTTGTAGTCATTTTTGGAAGCATTCTTCATCTTCTCGTCTTTTTAAAGAAACTTTGGAGTCATGGAGGAACCAGGAGCCATAGAGGTGACCGTGAAAACTCTGGATTCCCAGAGCAGGACGTTCACTGTCAGGGGAGAGGTCTGTTTCTGTGTGCTTTACGATATTATCAGTCATAGACAAAAACATTATGTGAGGAATTTATTTGTGCTATGATTATTTTGTATGTAACCCAACTAGCTCATTTAACAAGTATAACCCAGTCCGCTATATTGAAAGGCTGTTAAATACACTTTAAATCGATAAACCAATTACGTTTGCCTTTGTAATCTGATTGTCACCTCTCTTACTTTCTCTCAGTGGACAGTGAAGCAGTTTAAAGAGCACATCGCTTCTGCTGTTGAAATCCCGGTGGATAAGCAGAGGTTGATCTACCAGGGTAAAGTGCTGCAGGATGAGAGCACACTCACAGAATACAGTGAGTCACTTCTTTGTGTCTGTTTTTTTTCGCACTGGGACTGTTAACTGTTTGTATATCACTCCGCATGTCTGTTTTTGGTGCATTCCAGCCAGAAGGTGGTGACAAGGGACTGTCTTTCTTAGTGAGTCATTGGAACGTTCACTCAACCGTTTTGTTCAAAACACAGATTCATTCAGGAACTGAACGAGTGACTGTTGGTGAATTCGGAACAGCATACTACTCTTTCTATTTTTGACCATATTTTTCTATGGCAGGAATAGTAGAAGTTGTATGTAAGGGTGGGCGATATAGCCTTTAAATTATATCACAATATTTCAAGAATATTTGCTATAAAAATATGTATGACGATATAGAAAAAAAAAAAGGAACAATGTTTTATTGGTGATTGCAGCTGGCAGTAGTGTTGGGCGATATGCTCAATTTTCATATCGTCCTATCGTCAGCCTGTGAGATCGCCGATACACGATATTATCGTGCTAATTTATGTAGCCTAATTATTTACTTAGTTTCATTGTGGGAAAGTGAACCAACTCCAGCGTAAGGATAAAAGCAGCCTAATGTTTTTAATATGACTGAATTTGTATTTAACATGATAACAAATTAATAGAAACATCGTAAGTTACTAATTATAATGCTTACATTTCCTCAGTTATTCAAACAGCAGCTACAGAAAACGAGCATAGAACATTACATTACCAAAGAACATCATCATATCGTCTATCGGCACAACCCTAGCTGGCAGGCAGCAGCATTTATTAGTACAAACAAAATGAAGGGCATTTTTCACCCTTTTCCAATGAGCTACTGTCATCGATGGCAGACTACCTAATTCGAAGTGTAAATCTATTGTCATAAGTTGTGTGTTTGACTTGAAGCAGACCGATCGGTGTATGATGTCAAAATACCGCGAGAGTGACTTACCCCTTATTTACAATGCACGCGTCTGCGGCGCGTTACGGCTCCGACGCGGCCACTCTAGTCAATGCTTGTGTCTACTCTCCGCGCTGCTTCGCTAAAGATAGGTGCCTCGCCTATTTTTGACGGTAAGAGTGTGCCATCGAATATGCTCTAGAACCGCTCTACTCGACGCGGGCAAAATTAAATTGAGGATTTTTTTTAATTGAATACTCAAATAGAATCGAAGAATCGTTGCAGCCCTAATTAGGCCTGGGCGATAAAACGGTATCGATATTTATCGACGGTACACCATCATCGATAACGATAGAAAAAATGTTCGATATATCGCACGATAGTTTCACACTTTTTTTTTTTTCATTTAAAGGCGAGTGTTATGAGTGACAAGCAGAGAGCCAACAGAACACACAAACACACGCTGAAATGAGTGCCGTGCCTGCGTGCGATGAGGAGACTGTGAATCAAAAAAAGGAATATTAGTCGAATGAAAAAACGGTATATTTGAGTGTTAGGTGTGCGTCAGGGAGCCTTATCAGCGGGGCACGAGATGCGGTGAGGATGATGTTGTTGCATTTTGATGTTTTTGTTAGTCTATATCCAGTTGAAACCACAAGATGCGCCGCTGCTGCATATTCAAAATATTAGAGAAATATAGAAGCTCAGTGCGGAGATGATATTGGTTAGGTTAAAACCAAAACCAAGCCATTCACCCAGAACGCATATTCGGCGCATTCTTGACTGTTGCACTCGCGTCTCGCACAAGAGATGATTAATAGAAAGCCATGTAAAGTTAAAAGAGGTTAAACTTTTAGAAAACATGTCTCGAGAATTTGTGGGGGTTTTATTCCATTCCACTGCGTCTCATGTGTTTTTAAATGCAATCGTGTGATCGGCGCTTTGGCTATTTGTACTAAGCTATGCATAAATACACGATGCTGTTTTGTGCATTATTGTTTATGCAATTTACGAAATCATGTCAGTTTAGACGTTATGCACTTTTTTATAGACAGCCGTTATTTTCATTGCATTGAATAAACCGTTTAATGAGGTTAATTATTTTGCTCATTGCTCCCTCCTGTGGCCTCAGGAGATGGGCCAAAAGTTTCCTTAACACTTATAAATATTCAATCTGCATATAAAATATAAGAAAGGAGATGTTTGTTTCAATTTTATTTTGTTATTTTGTTTAAGGCTAAAATAAGTTGTTGTTTGTCTTAATAAATTGGGTAAATAAAAAATACAGTGGTTAAATTTAAAACTTTTTTCTACTGCTCTCTGTTTAAGAAAGGTTATAAGAAATTTTCAATAATTATCGATACCAAACGATATGAAACATTATATCGTGATCATTTTTTATTTTTATTTTTTATTTTTATTTTTTAGCTGTATCGCCCAGCCCTAGCCCTAATCAGGATTAGCCTATGTTTTCTGCTTCTTTCGATTAGTTAAGCATAATCGCCTGGTTGTTTGTCCTGATTTTTTTATTCGACATTTCCGTTATCTTGCACTGGTTTAAAGTTTAAATTCCCCAATTAGAGCTTTTTTTCTTACATTTTTCACCCAGTGTTTTGCTTAATCTTTCCAACCTTGGAAACCATGAGCAAACGCTCTTTCAGCACTGCAAAAAAACAAAAAGCGCTGATTATCTGAAAACACATACAAACATGCAAGTTCAAGTTTTACTAAGATATTCTGCGCAAATGAAAGCGTAATATAGCCAGTTTGTATTTCTTCCACTTGTGCTGTTTGCTGCATCTAAATATGCAAGGAATCCATCTCTGTGACAAAATCTAATAAATCCAAACATGAATCTTGACTATATTGATTGTGATTATGGTTGCTGAAGAAATGCACTTACACAGCCTCTGTGCTACAATACAAAGTATTTTTGTTGTTTGAAAATTAAAATTTTCATGAAATTTTTATGTTCTCTTTAATTTGTGCTAATGTCAAAGTGCAATAATTCTGATGAAATATAAAAATAATTTTCTTGAGAGCAACCATGATTAATAATTGTGATTATAATTTTTGAGCGAAACAATCTTTATTATCAGTTTAATCATTATCGTGCAGCCTTTTTTGAGATCTGTCATAACTGTAGTCAAAAGTTTGTTTGGTTTTTATTTGTGGTTATGAATGATAAAATCATATTTGCTGTTTTTCAGATGTCGATGGGAAGGTCATTCATCTTGTGGAGCGAGCACCTCCCCAGAGCAGTCAGTCTGGGGATGGAAGATGCGGAGTTTCTGGCTCCTCAGGTACAACGGATGGGGGATCCACCTCCTCTCAGTCTTCCACTTTTCCAGGAACTCCACATGACCGTAATGCCAACAACTACGTAATGCTGGGCACTTTTAACCTGCCTGTGAACATCATGAACCCACAGCAAATACAGGTTGCAGTGCTTTCCTAATGTGAAGAGACACATGTTTGTAATATGTGACCGCTTAACCTCAGATAGCCATTGTAATACATATGTTAGAGATCTTGTTATTAAAGGAAATTTAAATTTCACCCCTCTAGATGTCAGTGCAGCAGATGCTGGCTGGTGTTGGAGAAATGGGGCGTAATGTCAGAGTGAGCACCAGCACAGGAGTGAGTCATCCTTGCATCCTCTAACTTCACCAACCATACTTGCATAATTATGAACATTATAAGCAGTGTACTGAATGTTTGTATTAGAAGCGCTTTTGCTTTGTCTGGTCACAGTCTGTTGTTTAAAACGAAAGGTTATCTCTGGACACATCTACAATAATTTATTTCCTCTCTCACAGAGCAGTGGCTCTGTGGATGTCCATATCAACGTGGACCAATCAGTGCAGAGCGAGCCCAGGATGAGGCTCCAGCTGGCTGATAGCTTGCTGCGAGAGACACAGGCTTTAATCCACAGACTTGAGGTGCAGAACAAATATTTACATCCAACAAATAAAACAATCTTTTTGGATTTCTTAATTATATATCAAATGACATTCGGCTTGATTCGTATTTTCAGGTAAAAGTAACTTTAACTTTTTGTTTCAGGGTCAGTCAAGTGAACCGTCATCTCAGCAAGAGACACCACATCCTCAGCCATCATCATCATCATTCTCATCACAGCCAATGGACAGCTCCCCACCTCCACCTTCCTCCTCATCCTCAGCTTCACAGACAGAAGGAGCAACTCACTCTGGACCCAAGTAAGAGAAAATATTAGGGTCTAGGACAAATAAAATTGTCCATGATGAGGAAAAAGCTTTTAACAATCTAGGTAAAAAGCATGCGCCAGGCTCTTAGAAATGTATTTCTGGTATTCATGTTGATTTCATATGGTTAATAGAAAATTGTCTACAGTATTCAAGAATGTTTTGATTTAATGGCTCTAAAAATGTAACGTGGTGTAACCATTAAAGGGATAGTTCACCCAAAAATGAACAATTACTCTTAATTTACTCACACTCAGGCCAACCTGGATTCACAATAGAGGACTTTTATTTCCCAGTAGAACAGTAAAAAAGATTTTTAGCTAAAACCATTGTCCTTGGTGAGTCAAAACTTGTCACTTTGAGAGTCAAAAAAACAAAAACGTATCCAAGCAATACAATTAAATAACCGTGGCTCCTGACGATATATTATATCTTATGAAGTGAAATGCTTGGACGGTGCAAGAAACTGAACATTATTAACATTATTACCTGAATAACCTGATCTAAATTAAGAGCAAATTGACCATCCCTCTAAGTAAAAAGTCAATGTATTTTCCTTAAACCTTGAATGCATGTACATGATACATGTGTACATGAATGTACACATCTTAATAATTTCAATATTTTTCAAGATAAGTAATTTGTAAAAATATCATGATTATTCGTAATATTATTTTGGGGGAGACATTGATGTTTTATAACCTGAACCTTCAAATCAAATCATGTGATATACACTACTGTACAAAAGTTTGAGGTAAGTTTTCATATTTTCGAATGAAGTCTCTTATGATCAATGAGGCTGCATTTAGTTGATAAAATGTACAGTAAAACACTAATATTGTGGAATATTATTACATTTTAATATACTTTTTAAAATATCATTCTAATATACGTTTTCCTGCTCAGGAAATATATTCAGTGTTGAAAAAAACAGTTCACTATTGTTTGTGGAAAACATTATAAAAAAATTTCAGGATTCTTTGATGAATATAAAGTTCAAAAGAACAGCATTTATTTGAAATAGATGTTTCATAACATTATAACAGTTTTTAATGTCACTTTTGATGTGTGTCCTTGCTGAATTTGATGTGTCCTTGTTAAATAAAAGCTAAAAAAAACAACAACTCACTGTCCCTGAATGGTGATGTATCGTCATGTCTTTGGCCCATTACTTTTTTTTACATGTACAAAGTGTAACTTCTTTCCATGTCTCAACAGTCACCCCAGCCCTTTAGAGTTGGTGGAGGTTCTGTCAGAGGTGCGAAGGGTGGAGGAGCGCCTCCGTCCATTCATGGAGAGAACACATTCCATACTTGGAGCGGCCAATTCCGCTGACTACAATAACAATGTATGCCCTCGATAGTTTAATGTTACATAATTGTCATATGCGCTGTAAGGCATCATATTCATTTTCTGAAAATTGGTTTCTTGGACAGACTCAAGAACGAGAGGAGGATCAGCGCACTCTCAATTTGATTGGAGAGTCACTCCATCTCCTTGGCAACACATTGGTGGCTCTGAGTGACCTCCGATGCAATTTATCAGCTCAGCCACCCCGCCACTTACATGTGGTACGGCCCATGTCTCACTACACCTCCCCTGTTGTGCTGCAGAGTGGACCGCCCCATATTCCCATTCCAGTGAGCTAACCAACTATACATGCAAAACTACTTTCATACTATTAGTATCAAACAGTCAGCCTCAAAATATCTGTCATCTTCTAGATGAACCTGGGCTCCACTATGACCATGACGGCAAACAGCAGACAGACAAGCGAGGGTCAGGCCCAAACCTCACAGCCCAGCAACCAATCAGAGCCTCAGGGTCAGGCACCTCCTCCTCCACCGAATGGAGCCAGTCAACAGACGGGTCACGGTCAGGGGACTCCAAGAGTGATCAGAATCACTCACCAGACCATGGAGCCAGTGGTCATGATGCAGATGAACCTGGATGGTATGTCACCAACCCGCCCAATCAGAAGCCCAGTGTTCTTAGCACTGTGATTTAGCCATGCTGCCCATTCCTGGTCTGCTACACTTCAGAATAATCCAAACTCTTTTCTTCATCATGATATGATTTTACAATTTAAAATAGTTGCTTTCAAAAAAGGAATTGTGAGACCTGGAATGGGTAGCTGTAGTGTAACTGCCGACCACTGATCTGTGCATTTCTGTGCAGCAGATTCAGACAGTGGAGCGCAGGGCCAAAGGCAACAGAACCCCAGAGCTGCTGGAGAGACTGGTTAGTTTCCACCTCTCTCTATAGCCAGTAACCAGCCGTGCCAACATTAACATGTGATAGTGTCTTAAAGAAAAAAATTCACAAAAAAAATACGCTTTATCATCATTTACATGCCCTCATGTCATTCAAAACCAGTTTGACTTACTGTTTTACACTGAACGCAAAACAATAAATATTTGCAGAATTTCTACACTGCATGTTTTCCATGCAACAAAATAAAAGGGGGACTGGGGCTAAAGAGATCCAGACATCATCATAATAATTAAATTCACCATATACGTTGTAGTCTTTAAACATGGGTTGCCCATGGGGGTGCTAGGGGCCCATTGACAATTTCAGAGAAAAATTGTTTAAAATAGTAAAAAAAAAAACACATATTTGCCATTGCTTATTTTTTATTTTGAAGAAAACTGAAAAACATTGTTGTATTGACAACAATAGATTTATCGTTAAAGTTAGTGAAGTTTGTGGAATTAAATGTTTATTAGATATTGTTTATTAGATGCAGACTTATTAAAATGTTTACTGGACACACACACACACACACACACACACACACATATATATATATATATATATATATATATATATATTACCACTGTTTTTTGTTTTGTGATGGTTGTTCATGAGTCCCTTGTTTGTTCTGAACAGTTAAACTGAGCACTGTTCTTCAGAAAAATCCTCCATGTCCTGCAGATTCTTCAGTTTTCCAGCATCTTTTCCATTTTTAAACCCTTTACACAACTATTAAAAAAGGTTCAAACATTCCCTGATGCTCCAGAAGGAAACAAGAGGGATTAAAGGCACAATATGTAATTTTCGCCGTTAGAGGGCGCGTATTCGAAAGTACACAAGTCAGCAAAATATATAACACCGTTCTAGTGGTTTTTGGATATTTTAATAAAAAAATCTTACACATTTTGCCTTTAAGAGCCGGGGGGTGAAAACTTTTTGAATTTGAAGCTCAAGGTAAATTGTACTTAATTTGTCTTCCAGGAAACATGCAAGTATCTTCTGTTGCTTCCGAAGGGCAGTATTAAATGGAAAAAAATGATATTTCAACAAAATAAGAAAAATTTGGACGACATCATCCTGTTCAAAAGTTTAGGCTCTTAATGCATCTTGTTTCCTTCTGGAGCATCAGTGAATGTTTGAACCTTTTTTAATAGTTGTGTTTGAGTCCCTCAATTGTCCTCAGTGTGAAAAGATGGATCTCAAAATCATACAGTCACTGCTGGAAAGGGTTCAAATATGCAAAAGATGCTGGAAAACTGAAGAATCTGCAGGACCTGGAGGATTTTTCTGATGAACAGTGCTCAGTTTAACTGTTCAGAACAAACAAGGGACTCATGAACAACCATCACAAAACAAAAAAACAGTTGTAGCTCATCCAGGTGACCAAACACAGTATTAAGAACCAAGGGTTCCCAAACTTTTGAAGGGGGTTATTTTAATAATTTCAGCTATTTTTTTTGTCTTGTGGACTATATGTAAACATCTTTTATGTAAAATATCTTACTCAGGACAGTACTAAATAAAAATAACATGCATTCTGTATGATCTCTCTTTTGTTGAAATTATCACAGATTTTCACAGATTCTGCAAGGGGTTGTATATATATATGTATATACTGTACATATGTATGTACTGGTGGTGGTTGAGGAGAGCCCCCCCACATGATTGTTAAGCGCTTTGGGTGTACAACAATACACAATAAAGCGCTATATAAATGCATCATCATTCATTCATTCATATATGTACTGTACATGCAAATATTTCTTAAATATATACATGTATGTGTGTGTATTTTTTTATATTCATACAAATATACACAGTACACACATATATTATGCAAACACAAAATTTTGGATGCGATTAATCGGTTTGACAACCCTAAAACTATTGTAATCATTTTTTATTTTTTTTTATTAGCATTCATTTTTATATTTTCAATTAATAATAGTTTTATATGGTTTTGTTAATTTGATTAGCTTTTTTATATTTCTATTTAGTTTTTATTTTAGTTAATGATCATTTTAATACTTTATTTTATTAAGTTTTTTTAATTACAAAATAGTTTTTTAATAGTTTTAATTTATGATATCAACACTGCTCTGGAGGTTCTTCAAAATTCCTTTTTTAGTGTTCTGTGGAAGAAATCAAGTCATACAGGTTTGGAACATCGTGTGAGTAAATGATGACAGAATTGTTCATTTGAGTGGTGTTAAAGTACTACTTTTGCACTGGGATGTAACACAGCTGTTGTTTGTAGTCTTGTGTGTAAAATTTAAACCTTGCAACAGTTTCATTTTACAGCAGTGTTAGTAGTCACTTTTCACTGAATTCTGTGCGTCTGTTCTCTGAAGGCACCACAGCACCCATCCATGTACCAGGACTGCCACCGGAGTTCATGCAGGCCATCATTCATCAGATCTCCCAGCAGGCTGTCGCCATGGCAACCGCAGCCTCTGCCGGACACCAGGGGCAGCAGCAGGGCACTGCAGGCACAGGTGCCCAGAGTGCAGACAGCCCGGCTCCTCCGCCACCTCAGGCCAGGGTGGTCATCACACGGCCCACCTTATCTCCACGCATCCCCCAACCAGTGAGCACCAGAGGGACCACCATCAACCTGCAGGCAACAGTGCCCCCATCAGCAGGACAACAGACTAACCAAGTATGAACTTTTAAGATAAATTGTTATTGTGTTTTGGAGAGACATAAAAACCAAAGTCCCTTTCAAGGAAAGTCGGTGGCCATATTTGCAACACCTCTGGAAAATCCTGAAATCTCAAAAACTGCTTGCCACATTCATATTTGAATTACATATTTCAAATAAGTAACAAAATCTGACATTAACTGTCCCATTAATGTTGTTTCTTATGCTCAAATATTGTTTAAAAAAGCTTATATTTCAGTGATGTGATGGTTTTACCATTTACCATATCTAATCTCTTTGCATAAAACTCATAGATCATTTTTGTTCTTCAATCAAGGGCAACCCTATGACGTCCTCTCCTCTCACACAGATGGTCAGTGGTTTGGTAGGGCAGCTTTTGATGCCATTGCACACAGGTGAGTGGTCCTTACCTATTCAGTTCCTCTTCAAGATCCAACATCACAAAGCTTATAAACATTCCATGTTTTCCATCATCAGGCGACCAGACGTCCACTACCTCATCGTCCCATTCCTTCTCTTTCTCTACCTCCACAGCTACCCCTTCCTCCTCCTCTATCTCCTCCTCCACTGCTCCTCCATCCTCTACCAACACATCCGGTCAGACGTCCACCCACACCACCAGTACGGCGTCCATGGGTCAGTCCCAGGAGGGCGGCCCAGGAGATAACCTAGCTCAGCTGCTGGGCTCACTTTTGGGAGGGTTTGCGGGAGCTGGTGGAGGGGTGTCTGGAGGTCCTCCCTCCATTACAGTGACTGTTCCAGGCGTCCCTGCATTTATCCAGGGCCTGTCTGAGTTCATTCAGGTTGGTGCCTTTCTAAGCAAATGGGTTTTTGTAGTCTTATTTTACCAAATGTGTTCATTTGAACGTCCTGTTTTCTTTGCAGTCTGGCCAGCCTGTGTTTCCTCCACCAAACCAGCAGCCTCCACCCTCACAAGCCACACCCTCTGCCCCTTCAGGAGCTGCCCACACTACCGCCCCTCAGCCTCCCAGTGGAGGTGGAGAGACCCTCAGCCCTGAGCTTTTCACAGGCATCGTGCAGGGCGTCCTGTCCACAATGATGGGTTCTCTGGGTGCTGGTCAAGGCAACACTGAGAGCATCGCCCAGTTTATTCAGAGACTTTCCCAGACCAGCAACCTCTTCACTCCTGGAACTGGAGATGCAGTGGGTCAGTTTCTGTGTTTCATTGGCTCAACTCAAAGTTGCATTTGATGTACTTGTACTGACTCACTGTCTGTGTTTGTTTGGCAGGGTTCTTTGGAGATCTGCTCTCTCTGGTGTGTCAGAGTTTCTCAATGGTAGACATGGTTCTGCTGCTACATGGTAATCCTCAGCCTCTGAGCCGCGTCCAGCCCCAGCTCACGGCCTTCTTCACTGAGCACTATCTGCAAGGCCTAGAGCCCACCGATGCCAACATAGCTGTGAGCCTGAGTTCACACTGCTTTCATACATGGCTTTCATCTCAGATTAGTTAAATACTCAATTGACATACTCAGTAATTGTGTTCTATTATGATATTATCTTTGACTATACATATTACACACTAGTGTTCATTTTGTCAGCCATTTTTAATTTAGTCTTAGTCCTGTGTCAAATGTACTTTTTGGTTATATTTATCAATCTTGGCCAGTTTTAGTCAAGTTTTATTCGACTAAATGTCTGAGCATTTTAGTTCAGTTTTAGTCAATGAAATCTTAGTCACATTTTCATCATGCTGTATAATGGGTAAACTGATTAAAAATATATATACTAGGGGTGTAACGATACACGTATTCGTATTGAACCGTTCGGTACGCATTACAAACTGAACGATTCGTTGGAGTAATCCTATTACATTTGGAAAATAAAAGAGCTTAAAGTGTGTGAAATATAATGTACTCCAGGTTGTGACAGTGAGGTAGTTCATTATAGTTTTCTTTTATTCGCTTTTAAATGGCTTGTAAATGCCTGTGCGCATTTTACTTTCACTTCTCTTTACTCTCGCCTGTCACGTGACCGTGTAATCGCAGCCTCTGCGATTGAAAAATCAAAATTTTTCATATCGCGATATTATCGCAAATGCAATTAATCGTTCAGCCCTAAGTAAAACACAGCCTAATTTTAATTTTTGGGTGAATTAACCCTTTAACGGGCAACGTGTTGTGCCAGTGGCGTAGCAGACAGGCAAGCAGGGCACATGCTGCGAAAGGTCCCGCGATAACCTCCCCTTGCTGGGTTGCGTCGAAAGACGATGGTCTTGTATTGACGATAGCCAGAGATATTGTCAAAGACATCAATTATTGGTAATATTAAAAGGATTTGGCATGTCCAATTAATGTAGGCCTGTTACATTCTTATATTATTAGGCCTATTATTATTATGAATACTTTTATTATTAAATTAAGATTACAATTTGCCCCGCAATAATTACCACATAACTGACGCACTGCGAGGATAACAAAAGATTAGGCTATTTACTCCTCGATTAAAATGTTTTAAAAAAGGTCTTTTAAAACAGGTCTATTTTACAATGAATTATAGGTCTATAATTAAAATATTAACACTGCAGTCATCAATAAAAATCAATGAAATAAAAAGCTTTTATTTCAAGCACTGACTTTCAATAACAACCTGTTTAACACTAAATACGTTTCTTCTAATTTTTTTCCACTATGTACGGGCCACAAGAGAAATATTAAGGGAATAAATGAAAACCGTTAGCTATATAGGCTACTGTTTTCAGCATAGGTTGAAGTAGATTCGTCTCTAGTCGTCTCTGAGAGAATAGCCTATGCGGCGTCAGTTGCCGTATCGAACTGAACTGTGAATTTTGTGAATCGTTACACCCCTAATATATACATATATTTTTGCTCAAAATTATAATCAAAATGACTGTTATCATTTGAGAAATTATTTTTTGCTTTTTAGCTAGTGCACTTTCACCAATAAGCACAAATCAATAGAATGTCGACTCATACACATGGTTTATTTTCTATTGTACTGATTACAGGTTACTTATTATATAAATTAATATCAAAGACTTGTGCACTCTCTCTGTCTACATTATGAAAACAACCATGAAATTTCTAATAGTAATTCCAATAATTCCAAATTGCGATAATGGTTCTCTATTAAAACAACAGCGGTTGCGTAGGTACATTTATTCAGAAACCAAAATCGCAAACAAAATAGTCGAGATCTTATGACAGAACACAGACCAGCTGATTGACACAGAATGAAATTTCATTTAAGCAGAATATCTCACATAAGGATTGCTAAACTTCAGCTTGCTTGTTTGCCGGTGTTTTCAGATCATCTTCAGTGCTTTTGCAATGAAGAGCAAGTGCGTGCACATGGTTGCCAGATTGCAAACATTTAGCAAAACACTGAGCAGAAAATGTATCCTTTTAACAGAGAAGCTCTGATTCGAGGATTTGAAGTCTTGATATCTGGCAACCGCACACATGAAAGCTTAAGTTATACAGCAGTACGCTGAGATTTTGGTAAAATGTTTATTTTTTAAAATACATTTTAGTCTCGTCTTTTATTGTCAACGATATTGCATGTTGATATGATCACAGTAGGGCTGTCAAAAAAAAATTAGATTTTCAAATATTCGTTGAATTTAAAATAAAAATCCACATTCGAATGCAAAAATGTTGCATTTGAATTTTAGGTGTGTGTCAGGCAGCCTTATCAGTGGCACACAAGATGCGATGACCATGTAGGTGTCATTGCATTTTAATGCTTTTTTTAGCCTATCCTGTTGAACCCACTGGATATGGCGCTGCTCATCCAAAATATTGCGGAAAAAGAGAACTTCAATGCGGAGAAGATGTTGTTTACGTCAAAACTGAAACCAAGCCGTTCCCACAGAACGCATATTTATCGCATTTTCTAGAGGGACATCTATCACCGTTGCACTCGCGTCTCACAGAAGAGAGCCGCATGTTTAGAAAGCCATGTAAAATTGATGTAAGTTCAACTTTTAAAAAACATGTCTCGAGACTTTATGGCAATTTTTTTGCATCCCACTGCATCTCATGTTTTTAAATGAAAAAAGTGCTCTTTGTGATTAGTTTTCGGTCTTTTGTTTTAAACTATACATATACATACATGATGCTGTTTTGTTTCTAATTGTTAAGCAACGTAATTAATTATATATTGTTCATAAACATTATGCACTTTTTTTCAAAGATAGTTGTATTGTTTTATTGCTTAGAAGAAACGTGCATTAGTAATATTTTGCTCGATGCGCCCTCTTGTGGCCTCAGGAGAGAAGCCAAAAGCTTTTTTCCCCCTAAAAGAAATTATGCCTTTTAAATTCGAATATAATTTGAATATTGATAATATTTTGATACAAATTTTGAATTTAGTTATTCAGCCATTTTGACAGCCCTAGATCACTGTTATCATTTATTGACCTTATTGTTGTCTCGTCATTGTCTCGTTTTAGTCAGGGGAAAAAAGCTTGTCAAGGAACATTTTTCGTCATAGTTTTCGTTAACGAAATTACATTACACACACCTAACGGACTTTTTTTTTTTTTTACATTTTGGAGTCATGATGCAAACAAATAGTTTGTGTTTTGATCCATTGAAATGGTCACTTCGAAAGAACAATGAAAATAATGAAAAAATTATTAAATAAAAAATAATATAAAAAAAAACTTGACCCTCTTAACACTTACACTCTATTTCTCTTTTCGTTTTCTAACTGCTTGTTTTCTTTAAAAAACAAACAAACAAAAAAACCTTGCTACGTGTATTGCGTTAGGCTAACTGAGACTTGTCATAGCACTTGTATTTTATTGCTCTTTTGTTGATTTGATTGCTTCTTTTTTCCTCATTTGTAAGTCACTTTGGATAAAAGCGTCTGCTAAATGACTAAATGTAAATGTAAATACTGGCACTGTACTAGTGTGTGGTAATGATACTAATGGTATCGTTTTTGTTGTTTAGAGTGCTGCTGAGGATCTGATCAATGGACTAGAAGAGTACATTGCAGAGAGTTTTGTAAGTCTTGTTTGCACCTGATTTATCCTGTGCCATCTGTTCATCATACACGCTAACTGATAGTCTCTGTGCTGTATCTGTTTCAGTCCACTGTGACTGTTCGCTTGGGAGTGGACATCATCCAAACCAACATATCCTTCCTGAGACAACAGTTCACTCGCATGGCTACTCACATTCTACGCTGTACAGGTGACCACCATACTATCCACACAAACACAGACCAAAAAACTGCTCTGACCTCAGTATTTAAATTAAACGACTTTATTCATTATTGGGGACATTTTTATATTAATCAACTGAATCAAGAATTCAAAAGATATGAAACAAAGGGCAAATGGAAACTGTTTTGGCAATCTGTAACATTAAAAAAATAAAATAAGAAAAAAATAGATCTATTTTCTGTGAACTTCAGTGTCATTTTATTAGTAGTAATTTTAGTATATTACAGGTGCATCTCAATAAATTAGAATGTCGTGGAAAAGTTCATTTATTTCAGTAATTCAACTCAAAATTGTTTATTTAGATTGAATTTTATTTTAGTTTTAATAATTGTTGTACTTCTGTTTATGTACTTTGTACTTCTAAAATTGTATTTTATTCAGCTTTATTTAAATTAATGAAAACTATTTGTAATATTTTTGTTAACAATTACGCTGTTTCTTGTGTCTTTCCAGATAACACATTTGGCCAGCGCTTGCTGCATATGTGCACCCAGGGTCTGTTTGAGTGTTTGGCTCTCAATCTCTACTGCTTAAGGGGAGAGCAAAGAGCTTTAACCACTGTCATCAACCACCGAATTGTAAGATTCATTGACTCATCCTCATGAAGGTTGTTTGGTGATGCACCGAATGCATGTTTTGACACGTTCATGTTTTACTCCTCACTCAGAGGAGAATGTCAGCTGAAGTGAACCCCAGTCTGGTGAACTGGTTGACCAGTATGATGTCCATGAGGCTGCATGTGATTTTAGAGCACAATCCAGTCAGTGAAGACCAGATCCAGCATTACGTCCTCTATACGCAGGTATTCACCCTCACTTCAGGATTCACTCCCAAACTGAACCACAGAATACTGAAATCAATATGCTTCTATTATGTTTTTCACGTACAGAGCGAGTCGTCTCAAAGAATAGAGTCAGACGCACATGCAAGCCAGCAATCAGATAACATGAGCGTTGAGGTACGTTTTAACTGAACAAGAATGAGTCTAGTTTACTGGTGCATAGAAGAATTATTATTTCTAAATGAGTTGATAAAAACATATCAGCACATAAGTCTATTCACTACCATTCAAAAGTTTTAGATTTATAAGATTTTTAAAAATGTTTTTAAAAGACACCAGTCTTCTGCTCACCAAGGCTGTATTTATTTGATCCAAAATACAGCAAAAACAGCAATATTGTGAAATATTATTACAATATAAAATAGCTGTTTTCTATTTTATATATTTTTATATATTTTAAAATGCAATTTATTCCTGTGCTGGCAAAGCTGAATTCTCAGCATCATTACTCCAGTATTCAGTGTCAGGAGAAAAAAAACTAATAGAAAATTCAAAAGAACAGCATTTATCTGAAATAGAAAATTGTATAATAATAAATGTTTATTGAGCAGCAAATCAGCATATTAGAATGAAAATTCCAACACTGTAATAAATAGCATTTTAAAATATATTCAAATAGAAAAGTTATTTTAAATTGTAATTTTTCACAATATTACTGTTTTTTGCTGTATTTTAGATCAAATAAATACAGCCTTGGTGAGCAGAAAAGCCTTTAAAAGCCATTACTGATCTAAAACTAATGAATTTTTTTATTTTATTTAAAAAAACATTTTCATTGTAATTTTTAATCATTTTATTGTGCTTTTGCCGTTATCATTATTAATAATAATAATTAGCTTTATTTTTATTTCTGTTATTTTTTTAGTATTCTTAGTATCTCTGTTTGAACTTCAGTTAATTTCCGTTAAAGTTTCAAAAAAAATATTAGTCTAGTTAACAATAACACACACATCATAAGCAACTGTCCTTTGTGTATTTCCTGTCCCTTAGGCCTTGAACACATCTGGATGTTTGTCTGCACTATAAACTGTATTTCATAATAGTAATATGTGATTGATTATTTGTTACAGATGGAAGAGGGTCTGTCTCCTGCTCCTGCCACCACTGCAGAGGAAGTCATGGCATCCTCAGGAGACACTACTGACGGTGATGAACCACCTGGCAGGCCATTGTTAGAGGAGACACGAGGAGCAGTAGCCATGGCACCCGTAGACAGGGAGGAGTCAATTGGAGAGGCGGAGCCATGGGCAGCAACTCTTCCACCTGTGAGACTCCATTGTCTGTTGTGATTTAGTGTATCTGCTAAATGTTTATTTTATCACCTTTTTGTAGTACACTGACTAAGTTGACAGCAAAAAAATAAACCAACAACTGATACTGTGTATAGAAATAATGTGTGTTAAATATATGTTAATCAGGAGTGGGTACCCATCATAAGACATGACATGTTGACCCAGAGGAAGATGAAAGCACAGCCGCCTCTGTCTGATGCTTATCTGCATGGGATGCCAGCTAAGAGGAGGAAGGTCTGTGCACCAACTACATTCACATAAAACTAGAACGCTACCAAAGATCACCAATGCAAAATGAACAATTCAATTAGAGCCGATTTCCTCCCTTCACAGACCACACAGGGGGAGGGTCCTCACCTCTCTCTCTCTGAGGCTGTGAGTCGAGCTGCCAGGACAGCAGGGGTGCGACCTGTTACTGCCCCAGATAGCCTACAGGGGGAGCTGGAGGCATCAGAGCTGCAGGAAGCTTATACACAACAGGTAAGAAACTAAAATCGCACCTGATCTGTCCTGAGACACCTGCACGGAATAGCCTTACAACTGGCTAATAGCCTCGTTCTTATGGAGACAGATCAGCCTCAAAAATAACACATTTACAAAACAAAATTCATAAATTCACAGCACAATTTACATTTACAAAATCCGATTCGTAAATTCAAAACACAATTCATAAATACACAAGTAAAAGCATAAATATTTCCCCAAATGCTCACACAAATGCATCTTACCTAAATAAATTTAAAATGTTTACACAAATATGTATATATAAATTTCTTGAATTAATTTCCATCACACATGTATGAATGATGTTACATGTATTTATGGATCGTTGAATCTGCATTTGCAAATCGTCACATGTGCGTGGACTGCTTTGAATTTGTGTGTGGTATTTTTGAGACCTTCCTGGCAGGTTAAGATTCATAAATATCTTTTTTTAGAGGATGTTCCGTTCAGCCAATCGCGGTGAGCTTTTAATCCAAGAGAGATGTGTAGGGGAGACACTTGGCGATATGGCCTTGCTTGTGTATGTGCTTATTCTGTGTTTAGAATAAAAGGAGGAAGATGACAGTACTGCCTCCTACTGGTTTGTTGTGTTTGTGCTTCTGTTCACAAAGACACTCAGGGTCGTGTGGTGTATGGGACTCGAGTGTTCGCACTCTCCGATAACCAAATTAAAGTCTCGACGTGTAGATGCAAGCAACTTGTTAGCAATTAGCTTAGTTCTTCAACTGGCTAAAAACCATTATTAGATTTTTATGACATACATGGAGCTAAAGTCTCGAGAAGAGACTTATGACAGATAAAATATGTTACTAAATAAATACACGATTGTGATAGAAAATGAGAAGCTGACGTTGATTTATTCAAGCAGTCGTCAGAAGTTATTTCAAACACTCGCTGCTGTCTGAAAGTGAGTTTTGAGCTCAAATTATTTTAAAGTCTTTAATGCTGGTGTTATAGCTGTTAACTTTCTGAAATGATCCAGTTGGCCCGCTTTGGCCCAAGGTTTTCGTCGGGCCAAAAAACCCTGGCTGTTGGCCACAAGGAAGCACCGACGAGGCACGATCAAGCCCCGGAAGTAACAGTGGAAACGCGACAGGCCCTGGCACGCACTAGCACGCCTGCTTTTGGCCCGACAGTGGAAACACGGCTATTGGTCTCAAACTCAATTCCTGGAGGGCCACAGCTCTGCACAGTTTAGCTCCAACCCTAATCAAACACACCTGATCCAGCTGATCCAGCTAGGTCTTAAATCAGAGCAGAAAGTATTTTGATAAAGCTGTGGCATGAAATGTTGCACGAACAGCAAAGAAATAAATATCTTCCTCCGTATTTTTGTCTTATTTTCCAGTACAAATATCCTTAAATCAAGATACCTTAACTTCAGATGCAAAATGAACATATTAACTTTTTTTTTTTTTTTTCTTGTTTTCTGAGAAAAAAATTAAGTTACTTTATTCTTTCTTTTTTTTTTAAGATTTATTTTTTGGCATTTTCAGATTTATCAGGATAGGACTGATCAGAACTGACAGGAAGTGAAGTGGGAGAGAGATAGGGGCGGGATCGGGAAAGGTCCTTGAGTCGGGATTCGAACTCGGGACACACGTAGGGCAGCTGTGCTGACAAGTTAATTTATTCTTACGACAACAACAAATATCTCTCGGTAGGGTCTGAAAACTTGTTTTGCGTTTTAATTGAGTTCATATTTCTAAGCTCATAGGCAGATTTTTTTTAATGTTTTAATGATAAAATATTTGGAGTGGAAAACAAGACAAAAATACTAAAGAACATCACTTTTTGCAGTGTGATCAGACAGTACAGTAATAGGTATTTCTAACTATTTCATATTCTTTTTGAGCTTTTTTTTTTATTAATTAAAATGTAATGGAGCTTGACTTTGAAGTGTTGCTAATACAACTCATTGTGTTCTCATTAGACATTTACATTTAGACATTGTTTTCAGTTTAATTTATTCTGTGTTTAATTCTGTGCTTTTGCCTTTATTTTTTAATAATAATATTTCGCTTTATTTTTCTTTTCTTTTAGTACTTGGCTTATTACTATAACTTATTTCAGTTGCCAAGACAGCATTTCTATTTTTTCCTCATCTAATATTTATATTTGATCATATTTTAGCTTTTATCATATTTCATTTAAAGAAAACAACTGAAAATGCTATTAGTTTTAGGGCTGATTTTTCCATACTGTTCCTGTGAGTTTCAAAGTTTTCCCATAGAATTTTAATATATACAGCATTTTTTTTTTGTAACCCTTCAGACCTTGATTAGCTTATTTAGGTATGTTTGATTAGGAAGAAGCAAAACTCTGCAGTACTGTGGCTCTCCAGGACCGACGTTTGCCACCCCTTGTATGCACACTCCGTTTCGGTCCCATTTCCACAATCCCACATTATTACATTATTATCTTGCTCTCTGAATTGCATTGAACATTTTGAAACCTTTTGCATCCTTCATTGTCTTCCAGGTGAAGAGTGATATAAAGAAACGACTGAGTGATGATCCAGACTACAACCACCAGCGGTTTCCCAACACTCACAGAGCTTTTTCTGAGGACTCCTAACCCAACAGCTCGGTTTACTCTGTCTTGTCATCTGTCGAACATAGTCATCATGACCATGACGTCTCGAAGAACGGCCAATAGCGTCTCGTGCATTGAGGGGTTCCAGCTGTTTTGAAATCGGCGACAGACACATATCTCAGATGTCTGCCATAGTCAAATGTGTGGATAGTGGCTAAATATAGAGCCGGTGAACTAGACCGGCCATGGAGGCAGAAGAAACTAGACTTTCTTTCCACTACGTGGCATCCATTTGTCGGAAACAGCATCTTATAATCTTAGTAGATGTCAAAACGTTCAGTTTTAATCTGACAGGATTCATATATGCCCCTGTCCATTGTAAATTAGCTCTACATTGTTGTAATAAGTTGTTTTAATAATGACGATAATATCAGGCACATATACATGAAGAAAACGTAATTCGTTCCAGCTTGACCTGCTCAGTGTGTAGAGGAGATGCCGAGATTGATGTTTACAAGCTCCAGACATGTTGAACAAGATTAGATAGATGTACAGCACTGCACATTCGTCACTGAGGACTGGAAGAGTTTTAGTCATAGTGAATGCCATACAGCTGTTATTTGTAAGTATTTCTTGCATGCCAAAAACATCTGGTTGGCTCCATCATGTTGTTCATGAATGTGGCTGTTACAAAATAAATGGTTCTAGTTTTAAAGAAACGGCCGGCTGTGTCTGCCTCCATATGTTTGGCCACTTACATTAAAGAAACCTCTTTGCTATGGTTTAGTTTTTAAAACAAGCACAATGACTTTCATCTGGATACAAATTGGTATCTCATTACTTTAAGATATAAAACTGTGATACCCAGGAAATGAGATAATTTGGAGAATGACAATTTTTACATTAATATGGTCTAAACCATTCAACCATGTTTGCAAAATTTTTTTTTGTTTTTTGGTTGGTTGGTTGGTTTTTGTTATCAATAACTGTAAACCAGCATTTGGCCCCTTAAGTGCTAGCTGAACAATTATTTAATTTATGGTAAATTTCTAACCCTGTTACCCATACTTTACTGACATTATTTAATCTTTATTCAACTCAAACTTTGGTGACATAGCTGAATTTTTTTTTTT